CAGTTCCATCTGTTATCCAAAATAATATGAATAGCACGCTAGATGAACAGTATTCTTTGCATTTTCTGTTCCATGATAATATTTTCTGAAATAAAATATGAAAATTAAGCTTTCTTTCAATTCTGCCATCGTTAAGAGATCGTTTAATGCATGGCTACGACTTTCTTTTTCGTGTTAAAGTAACGTCCATTTGCACTTTCTCACTATGTAAACAAAAATTTACCAGCAAAAGAAATTATACATTCTTCATCGCTTTTTATCATTTTATAGCTTACCTCATGGCTATTATCTCACCTTACTAGGTAATTCTAACACCATTGAGTAAATACACACCCACCTACTATTATTTTTATCACTTTTATTGGCAATATAAAAGATAATCTTCGTTGTCTTGATTTAGAACTATCGTTTTTTTTGCGTTCTATCATTGTCAGTATTTATCCCTCCCGTCTGCAAAATCAATGATGGCGACCCCGTGGATGCAGGTGGAAAACCGAAAATGTAATCGTAAAGGCGAAACTTTTTTTTCGCCCCTTCTCTTTTATTTGATGGGTGGTCGCCTAATCGAGAGAACAGTTATAGGACATCGGGCGCGATTTATTACGCCGTTAAAGGGCCCAACTCTTATCTCGGGAGTGGATTCGATAATAGAAACCCGAGCGGAACAGGTTCTTGCTGATGGAGGGGGCCCTTGGATTGGGTCTTCTCGTTACGATAACATTGGTATATTCTGCAAGAGCTTTTTTGTCTCCGTTTGCTTAAATACCTCGGAATAATTCCAAGAGATCTCGTCGTTTATCGTTTTTTTTGGAAAACAGTCCTCTGTTCCGCTTCGAAATGTTTGGATTTGCGTCTACCTCTTAGTTCGAAGTACTTACTGTGGAGAATGGTCAGAGCAGTTCTTCAGAGCCTAGAAATAGGTGATGATCACATTTGGGAAGTATTTAATCCAACTTCGTCCCCCTATTTAAAGAGATGTGAATGTTTATTTACTGTTTGCTATGGATATTACCGGCTGTTGAGTTTTACTGCTTCACTCAAGTGAAATACTCAACTGAATACTAAGGCTTAAGAAGATTAAGGTAAAAAAGGTTCTTTTAATTCATATGGCTAAGAATCTCATGAGAATTTGGGCGCTATAAATAATTGCTTGGGTTATATATATATTTCCCGAGTAAATTTGTATTGCAATTAATTTTTTTCAGTTTCAGACTTATTTGAAAATTTTAAGGCAGTCACTGAGATATCATTATAATTTTTATAATCAATGGATATTGATAATCAATCAGTAAATAAAGTAATTAAACGTCTTTGATTAGAGAAAACATTAAAAAGTTAGATTAGTTAAAAGATTTATTTGAAGTTCGACTGAGTTACAGAAAAAACTTTGTTTATTTCATAAAATACGTAAATTTTTGATTTCATGTGACAAAATCTCAAACCGTATTTAACTTTGAGTTTAATTAATCTATTTTTTTATAAATATGCTTTTTAACTTTTAATTTCGATGTTCGTATGTGTGACTGTCATTTAATATTCCTTAAGGATGTGAATCTGCCAGTGGCGTACTCAAGGAGGGAGGAGAGTTCAACCCCCATAGACCAATAAATTTTTAATTTTTGCCTTAGAGATTATCCCTCGGCCCCTTCATCTACTATTNGCCCCCCCCCCCCCTTGAAAAATTCCTGTGTGCGCTACTGGTGACTATCATTTAATAATCCTTAAGGATGTGAATCTGCCTGTGGCGTACTCAAGGAGGGAGGAGAGTTCAACCCACATAGACCAATAATTTTTTAATTTTTGCCGTAGAGATTATCCCTCGGCTCCTTCATCTACTATTTCTTGGATGGTCCCCCCCCCCCCCCCTTCAATAAGAGAGATCTGCGTACGCCTCTGGAATCTGCAATTGCTGAATGCTTTAGAATATTAAACTAACCATTTTGGAACTGCATATTGCAAAGTAGAAAATAAAAAATTTCCCTATTATTTTCACCACAATTTATATAATATTGGTTTGTATTAGGTATGATCAGAGTCGCACACATGACTTTTTCAGGTGAGGGGAGCTCCAGGGTCGGAAGTCCACCATTCTCGTATCATGCTCCAATACGTCGCGCAACATATTCTATTGATTTAGTCGATTTTCAGGAACAAAAAACAATAAAAAATTAGTTATTGAATAAATAATTACCATTAATTAATAAAATTAATTTTTAATAACACATACTTTTTTAAATTTTACGTACTATATACATATTATTATAATCAAACGAAAAACAAGGTCTGTTGAGGGTCCGGTAGGTATCCACTAGGTATGATTACATATATTTCATCAAAATCTAACAATAAATTAATCATGTTAGTAGTTGTTGAAAAAAGAAGCAAGATAAAATTCACTAAGCTATAAAAAAAGAATGCATGAAGAGAGAAGGATAAAGAACTCTAAAACATTTTTTACCTTGAGGTTTTACAAATAGATGTCCGATGAAAACATCATGGAAGCGAAGTTTGGCATTTTCCATTTCAGATAGATAACAGATTCGATCAAAAATCCATTTCCATAAATGCATCTTTCATACGAGATCGTAACGTCTAAAACAATAAAACCCCTATTTTCCTTCTTCACAATTTCCGCTGAGTCCATCTATTCCATTCGATAAAAAGGAAGTGTTTTTGTTTTTTCTCTATTACTTGGGGCCTGTGGTCATCATCGCATACATAGACACGTTGCTTACTCAGAAAACACACACTACGTGTTATTTTAGTTTTCTCACTTCAACTAATAGAGTGCCGAAATGAGCCCGTGTTCCATTTTTATTCAATTTCCTTTTATCCGATTGGCAAAATGCTACAAAAATATGAAGGATATACATTTTGTATTCATGTTTGACGTAGAGAAATTTGAGAATACACTGAATTTAGTTTTCAGATGATAACATGTTATTTTTGACGCTTTTTCAAAGTAATTCGTAAAAAATAATATTCAAATGTATAACGATTTTTATCTTATACAGATACGTTCTAATACATAGAAACTATGTTTGATGTAATTTATTCAGTTTCTGTGTTCAGTATTGTATCTTGGAAGTATTTTTGAAAGATTAGCAATGTTTTAGTGACTCAGTGTTTGCTGTTTTATGAATAAAATTATGCATCACATTATATCAGTTTCAGATTTATTAATGTATTAATAGTCAAGAATTTTAAAGTATTTGTTAAAATTTAAATGTCACAATCATAATCGATACATGAATAGTTTTTAAATCATAGCTTAAAATTAAATAATATATCCACACACACACAAGCAAAAGGATACCGACATTAAATTTTTTATCATTTTTCTTAAATTAAGGTTGTTGCTTTTTCTTGTACAATATTATTTCGCCATTTCTTTTGTATATTACATTCGATGAAACTTTCAGGTTTTTAGTAGGCAATCCCTCCAAAAAGTTATGCTTAACAAAAGCTAGCACAGATAGAATTTTCAAATTGTTCGAACGATTCAAATAACTATCTGAGAAGTATATTCTTGATCCCCTATTCACATAAACTCCAAACTTTTTTGATCGCGTACCCCGAAAACGAAAATAAAAAAATTATGAATACATCATTATAGATATACATATAATTTGTCTACATCTTTTGCTTACCCTAATTTGGGGACCATTGCCCACACTCACACACGCAAAACAACTGTCTCTACAGACATCATTGTTCTATAAGAAAAAAAAATTATTTATTTTTTTTTATTTATTTATATTTTTGTAATACATGTGTAAGAGAAAAGATATTTTTTAATAATAAAATCCTGACTATTTTTAATAGGCGTATGCATTTCAAGCAAATATGTATAGTATTTTTTATGCATTTCTTAGTAAATATTAGCATTAATAAAATTTTATTAAATTATCTGATTTTATTTTTTTTTTCACTTCTAAATACAACATAAAGAAAATATATAGTAATTTATTTTTAAAAATGTGTAAAATACTGCTAGTTGCATTCTTTTTATTTTTATAGTTATGAGTTTTTCAAATTCCGAAGCATACTGCTAAGTATTTGCAATTCCGTAAAATGTCGTTTTATTGTAACGGTTATTATATTAAACAAAATTTATAGTATTAAGTTAAGCATAATATTAAATAAAAAGTCAGTGAAAAACAATGAAACTTTTTACTTCTAAAATCAATATAATAGTTGCTTTGATTGTCTTGCTTCTAAGAAATTGTTGATATCTTTTATTTTCGAATATTTCTTCAAAACCCAAAATTAAACTACTCTCATTAATGTGAATAGGAAAAATACTTTTTAGAATTATTCAAGAAAAATTTCAATTGCTTGATCCTTGCCTTTTCTAAATTTGTTTAATCGTAAAGAAAAATATCGCAGTGCTTAAAAAATGCTTTGAAATTTGTTTCTGAAATTTTCTATGATTTTTGTATTAGTTAATTCCTTTGTATTTTATCTCAGAATTGCTAAATTAAATTAAGACGTCCTATATACTATTTTATTATTGTTTTTTATTTTTACTTATTTATTTATTTTGTATACTTTTGTATGAAATTTTTTTTTTTCCCTTTACCATTATTTAAAAAAAATGCAGGGAGATGTTTTAACAGGTTTTTGTGAATCCTCTGACTAAATTCTGCGGTACAATTTGCTTTGGCATGATTTCTGACTTTGAGAAAACCAGAGAAGATTTCCATAAAAATATTGTATCTGGATAAATTCTTTCTCATTCGTTTTTCAACTCCTACTATTAATTCACACTCTCTCTATTTAAATATATATATATATATATATATATTGTTCAAATTTTCTATCGTTATAAAATACTTTATCAAGTTCAAATACATTTTTTAAAACTTAAAGTGGATGACATTTGATGTTAATACATTTTTTTCAACTATTGATTCATTAATTAAATTTATTTAATGAATAAATAGTAACAAACAAAAATAATAATCCAACACCATATATAAAAAGGAAAAGCGCTCGTTGTCTTCCTGTAGCGCAATGGATAGCGCGTTGGACTTCTGATCCAAAGGTCGTGGGTTTGATTCCCACTTGGGATGGCCTAATTTCTGATAATGTGGTTTCTCTTTTTACTGTGTTATTTTATTGGAATAATTAAATTTATTTAACGAATAAACACTAACAAAAAAATAATAGTCCAACACCATATATAGAAAGCAAAATGGAAAATTGCAAGGAAAATCGCTTTCTACTTGGCCACGGAATATTGTGATTCTGTCAAATGTATATACATATTTACATTAATTATAATTATTTAATTAAAAGTAACTAAAATAAAACATTTCTTTGTTGACCTAAGTGGGAATTGACTTAAATTTTTTTTATATTACTTGTTTGTAATGAATTATGAATATGTCTATGATATTAGTACATGAAAACTCCTACTGTGCTTTTTTATCATCTCATAAATTCTTATGTGATTCACTTCCCGATGACAAAATATGAAACTAATCCAAGTAATCATGAAAAAGTAACTCCTTTTTTTAAGTGCCATTTAACCTAATTACGTAAAAGCGGCATTTTGTAAATCGATATTCTAATATATTTTCATGAAATTAGCATTAAAAACATGCCTTGTGGTTTTGAGATATCCTTCTTGATAAACTATGAATATAACTATAAATCGATGTCCTAAATCGAAAATGTATGAACGTTTTTCATGGAATAATGTTTTTGCCATATATGTTGACCTTTTTCCTTAAAAAAAACAAGCATGTTTGTGAACTCTTTTGTTATTTCAATTATTTTGAGGATTCTTACGAATTTATTTCTTTAATAATAATAACTGCATTTCAAGTTTCTTGTTATTAATATTTTCGTATGAATAATGGTATATGGTCAGAATATATTTTAATTTATTGTATAACATTGAACAGAATTGATGATGCCGCGAAAGCCGGGTAATAATGGGTGCAAACTTGTGTCCGTCATAGTTCCTCTCTATATAGTCGTAGGCAGTGGCGTAACGGAGAACGTTTGGGCCCCCCTGTAGAATCAGGTTTTGGGCCCCCAAGTTGAATTTTACAAAGGGTAGGTACTTGGCGGCAGTCAGGCTTTGGGTCCCTAGAGCCTTGGGCCCCCCGCAATGTGGGGGTTGCGGGGATGTACGTTACGCCACTGGTCGTGGGCTCCAATTCTAGTGCCACTAAAGAGTGTGAATGAAAGAACCGCCGTAGAGTTGTTGCTGCACATTAAATCAGTCGATACTCAAAATCCTCTCGTTGGCAGATATTGGGAGTTTGGAAAGTAGAATCCCATCTAAAGTTTCACTCTCGTAACTTAATCCAGATTTAAAATTGCAAGGACCGTCACTAATAGCTTTCGTGTAGTTTCAAAATGCTACTTTGATTTAAAAAAAATCGAGTAAAATTAGTAATGTACTGCTGTATCATTATTATTTTAAAGAATTTTTATAAATACATATATTTTCCTTTTATTTTATTTTAAAATAAATTTTAGAGATTTGTTCTGTAAAGCATTTCCTCGACAATATGCATCCTTATTATAAAATAGGAAAAAATCATTCTTATAATTCTTTAATTGTTACTTTTATTATCCCCATTCATTTTTCAACACTTCAATTTTCCATTCAATATCTTAACATCTCTGAGACTGAACGCTTCAAAGCCAACTCAAAATTTTTACCGGAGAATGACAAAAATTTCTATTGTTCTTCCAGTCGTACTCTTCCAGCGGTTGGATACGAAGGTATTATGAGATTAGCATCTCCTGTGTCTGTCCTTCGGGATAATTTCATTACTGCTCTTTTCCTGCATGCTCTTTTAAATAGAAGACAGACCTCCTGGTGCATGGGTACAGTTTTCCACTTGTTTTACTTTACTCTAAACGCAATTCTTATTCCCGAGGAATGCTGGAACCACAGTTACAACCACCCCCTCCTCAAGACTGATGCACGGTTGGAAAGTCAAGGGAGTGGGAAACGTGCGCTTTTGGCATAACTCGATTAATTCCTCCGCGTTCTTAATCGCATTTCTGCCCCGTTAAGAAGCATGCTATGCAATTAGTGAAGTGCCGGAGGTGTTGACCTGCCACTGGATAGACGGACTTTTTCCAAAGTGCAAGCCTAATTTTGTTAATTGCCATTAAGCGTTGTTTTGGACCCGCCCTCAAAGCAAGCCGTCTTGCGTTGAGTCGTCCCAAGTGAATGGTTACCTCGCGGAGCGTTATCTTTATACGATATCTTTCTTTGGGAGATGCTTCCGTTGTTTTAGAGATGCGCCGCGTAATGAAAGTATCATCTGAGTTCCACCCCTACACAGAAGTATTATCTGAATATAAGGAACTCAGGATGCACACACGTTGCTGATGTATAATCCATTTTATGGCGTGATATGAGGTGTACAATGATGCACGTATAAAGCTACCCCAAAATTTTCTGATATTTTGTGTGTACACTCTCTTATTATTATTCTATCAGTAAAAAGTCGCCCGTTTCTCTTACTCTTGTTTATATATTAGTTCCATTCTTTTGAAGTGTAGACTACTTTACAGATGTTACTTTTCACTTTAAACTTAACTTACACAAAACACTTTTTTAGCAATTATTGTTTTGATTTATCCATCATTTCTTATGAATCATTATTATCCAATGATTGATGAAAAATTGTATTGGGATTGATGAAAAATATAATTGTATTTCTGAAGTTTTATGGTATTTAAGCTTGACTTCTCTTGAACATCGTAAGATAACGTTTTTTTTTCTTCTTTTTTTTCCATGTGGAAAATTGTTTTTAAATATTAATTTAAAAACTTATAAAAAATTCAAATTTTTATCGCATAACAAAGAAGATACCTTTTAAGTGAATATTTTTCATTCTCATGTGTATTTTTATTTGTCTTACCTACAGGTTATGCATGAGATGCAGTCTAAAGTGGAAGGTCAAGGCTAAGAGAAATGAATTTCTTTCACCGGCGGACCTGGGCCGCCGGCCGGCGAAAAGTACCTTTACTGAGAAGGATTAGCAACCGCTGGTGGTGGTGCGTTTTGTGGTCCGTCCTCTGTCTGTCATGGTCTGCGACGCAAGCAAGTGGCATATTGGTTACATCTTACACCACACCAAATGAGACTGTGGTGTTCCACCATGTGGCAGTGGATAGTTTGTCGGGAAGAGTGTATGTCGGAGCTACTAACTGGCTGTTTCAGCTCAATTCTGGACTAGAGTTGGATCGAGCCGTTCAAACAGGACCCGTTGAGGACAATATACAATGCTTTCCGGGTGCCTGCTCGGAGCAGCAACTGGCTTCTTTGGACAATGTCAATAAAATTTTGGTGGTCGACGAAGTATCACGGCGTCTTCTCGTCTGTGGAAGCGTCTACCAAGGTGCTTGCCAACGCCGTGAGCTTGAAGATATAGCCGTTTCTGAAGATCTAGTTCTGCTGCCAGTTGCTGCGAATGATGAAACGAGTTCAACAGTAGCTTTTGTCGGGCCTGCCCGATACATGGGGTACCCATCCCGTGTCCTGTACGTAGCCACTACTAACAGCAGGCTAGGTCCGTATCGAGACATGGTCCCCGCGATTTGCAGTCGTTATCTAGAAGATGACAGACGACTGTTTGGTGTCATTGAAAAATCATTTTCAGAAATTTTGCGGGTAGATATCAGTTCACAAGTTAGGGACTATTACCTGGTCAACTACATATATGGTTTTCATTCTGGAGATTATGTATACTTTGCAACACTTCAGCGGCGTTCCCATTTGCGTTCCATGGAAGAAGGAGGGTACATATCGCGTCTGGCTCGCATCTGTGTGTCAGATGCTCGCTATGATTCGTACGTTGAGACTACTCTGCAATGCCTGGGTCCTGATGGTCGTGACTATAATCTTTTACAAGACGCACACATTGTAAGAGCTGAACCTGCTGATTTGCTAGTCGGAGTTTTTGCTGCAAGCAGAGATCACACTGTACACAGTTCCGACCGGTCTGCTGTGTGCGTCTTTTCTCTTGCTGATGTGGAACAGCGATTCACGGAAAATATTCATCTCTGCTACAATGGCAGTGTTCCGTCCCGAGACATGGACTACATCGCTGGAAGTATACAGGACTGCCCTGAACCAGGGGTACGTGAAGCCATTCTTTCCAACTTGCTTTCATCACAGGTATCCCTTTTTAGTTCCGTTTTTGTTTGTTTTTTATGTTCTGTTTATCTAGGCATTCAAGCAATTTCTTGTCGCTGAAAATAGATTGTAAGAATGTTGATAGTGAATAATTTAAGGTGTTGATATTAATTATTATTATACAAAAACGATTTAAAATATTTTATCCGGTGATCACATAATCACTATAATTTTAGTTTCCTCCTATAGTTCTTATTTGGAAATGACTCTTAGACCTATCAGACTTCACACACAAACGCACAAAGGATCTAAACCAGCGGTCGGCAACCTTTTTTAGCTGTGACGTGCCAATCTACCAATATGAATCAGCGTGCCACGCAGTTGTACATTTCTGGAACAAAGGGATTTTCGTGATAAAGCATGCAGTTAGAGAATAGGAGAAAGAGTTAGAGAATAGGAGAAAGAGTTAGAGAATAGGAGGTGTCAATAATATATAGATTTACAGTTTTATTATACATCAATTTTGCATCATTTAAAGATATTTCGTAACATAAAAATAAACAGCATAAAATATAATTTTTTCTTCAACAAAAATAAAAATTGTACACATATGATGTATTTTTAAACATATTTATTAAAATAAAAAATAGACAACATAAAATATAACTTTATTCTTTCTTTATAGTTAAATAAAAAGATAAATAAAAATTTTGATGCGAACCTACTGCTTGTACAGCTTTACTTTCATATCGCAAAATCAGAAATATAATGTGTGACTTTCAATCTGACACGATTCTGAACATTCAGTTGTTAAACAATTTCCTTGCGGACTCGAAATATTTTTCATATGAGGAGAATATTTTCACTTAGATATGTAGAACTAAAAGGCAACACAAAAGCAGATTTCAAAACAGCTGTAAATTTATCTTTAGGGTTGTCTTTCAGATTGTTTCGTAATTC